GTTCCTCTATCTGCCCAGTGTCTTAGTCTTTTAGGAGAGCATATACCCTGTCACCAGACCAGACTTTAAACCCGTGCTCTGTGCTTCCAGCTGTAATCAGAGCGAGGAGTGAGGCTAGACTTTTAAATCCTCTGTTACTCACTCTTAACATTGTAATCATGGTATCTACTAATTTTATACATTTCTGCAATAAATATTTGAGTTCTGGGGCTAGGAAAATGGGTTAGTAGAGTGTTTGCCTTCAATATATAGAGACCTGGGTTCATTCCCCAGCACTGAATAAAACCAGGTCCCAGGACTGGGGATGGTGAGACAAGAGGATCAGAAAATCAAGGTCAGTCAGATTTTAAGATAAGTGAATAAATGAATGGATGACGTAGGTTAAAAAGCCTTATTTGAGTTCCTGTTTTGTTCTGGGTGCTAGGAAAATGTAGAAATCAAGAGACTGCACAGGAAATCTAGCAGGCAAGAGTCCTGTCCTTGTGGCTCTTGCAGTCTGGTGGAGGGAATCGTACTAACCAACTAAATAAACACTCATGATTCTTCCTGCTCGTGCTGGAAAGGCAGGAGATCATGTGATGGAGTGGTATGCTTAAGTGGCTGTAGGCAAGATCTGAAGGGAGAGTGTGAGCAGGATACAGAGCAGCTGTCACCGGTGTCATGCAGAGGACACACAGCGCACAAAGGTCTGGAGAAAGGCAAAGGGTCTCAGCAAGACAGGAATAGCAGGTGGCCAAGAGGAGAAGTGACACCAGCGGAGGGCAGAGGCAGAAAAAGAGGCCGACTCTCATAGGTCTCCGGGGGAGTCTCAGTAAGGAGTTTCAGGTTTCGTTCTAGCCTCAATAGGATAGAAAGTTATGTAAAATTGTTAAAAAAAAAAAATTGTAAGTGATCCACGTGGATGGTTTGGTTTTGTTGGTTTGGTGTGTTCTGTTTTTTTCAAATGTTCATTTGGTGTGGTGTGGTGTAATGATGCAGTGCTGTGTGTGTGTGTGTGTGAGTGTGTGTGTGTGTGTGTGTGTGTGTGTGTATGTGTGTGCGTGTGTGCGCGCATGCCTTGATGGAAACCAGAGACAACTTGGGAGAGTTGGTTCTCTTCTACAGTATGAATGCCGGGGGTTGAACTCGGGTTTTCAGCCTTGGCAGCAAGGGTCTTTACCCACTGAGCCATCTCGCCTGGCCCCTGATTTTGCTTTGTTTGATTTTTGAGACAGGATCTATATGTATAATCCAGGCTAGCCCATACTCCTCTACCTCTGCTTCCTGAGTACTAGGATTAAATTTTATATTATTTTTCTTGAGACAAAGTTCCATGCATCCCAGGCTGGCTTTGAACTTGCCAAATAGCCAAGGAGGATCTTGGATGCTGATCTTCTTATCTCCATCTCCCAAGTGCTGGTGTACCACCAAGCCCAACTTAAAGAAATGTGTTCTAGGTGAAAGTTATGTGCCAAGGATTCAACATCTCCTTTAAGCCCCATGAAACATTATAGGGTAAAAACACTGGTGCATCCAAATGTTATTGTGAAGGTTCAGTTGTCAGTAACAGTGGAAAATGTATCAGGAGTTTATAGATGTGTTATTATTGTTTCTTTGGCTGGCTGGGGTTTTTGTGGTTTGGTTTGGTTAGGTTTGAGGAAGAGCCCTGGGTATCCCAGATTCACACTCACTATGTAGCAGAAGCTGGACTTTGAATCCTTTGGTCATCTTGTGTCTATCTCTCAAATTCTGAGAGTAAATGTAATCCCTAACCGAGGCTCATTGACTCATGCCTGTAATCCCAGCACTCGGGGAGGCAGAAGAAGTCAGATCTTTGTGAGTTTGAGGCCACCTTGGTCTACAAAGTGAGTCCAGGACAGCCAAGGCTTCACTCAGAAACCCTGTCTCAAAACAAAACAAAACAAAACAAAAACATATTCCCTAAAATGCCCAAGCAATTTGAGCTCTTTCAGAGACTTCTGTGAAGCTCAGATTCTTGAAGGGGGAAGTCATCTTTTTCTTTCTTTCTTTCTTTCTTTCTTTCTTTCTTTCTTTCTTTCTTTCTTTCTTTCTTTCTTTTTTTCTTTTTTTCTTTCTTTCATCTTGTTATGTAGCCTAGAACTCACTGTGCAGCCCAAACTGGCCTTAAACACACAGTAAGCCTCTTGCCTCAGCATCTACAGTGGTCGGATTACAGGTTTATGCAATGAACCAAGCTTGAAACTGTATTCTTATTTCTCAAAAGATTTTTTTTTCAAGACAGGGTTTCTCTGTGTAGATATGCTGTCTGGACTCGCTTTGTAGACCAGGCTGGCCTCAAACTCACAGAGATCTGCCTGCCTCTGTGGATCTCTGGGATCCCCAAGTGCTGGGATTACAGGCATGCACTACTGCACAGAGCTTCAAAGGATAATTTTTACATGAGCCACTGTAATTGGAGCTCTTTTATTTTTTAGATAGGGTTTCATATGTAGTCCAATTTAGGGCAAACGTCCTGCAAATAAGTGGGATTACAGCAAGAGCTGCCAAAACTGGATTTGGCAACCGTACGTTTTTAAGTTTGGGCATTAAGAATGAGGGCTGGAAAAAAAAAAAAAAAGAATGAGGGCTGGACCATGCATGGTGGCTCATGCTTCTAATCTGAAGGCCAGTCTGAAGCAATCTGAAGGCGAAGACAGCCAGATCTCTGTAAGTGTGAGGTCATCTTGGTCTACACAGTAAGTTCCAGGCTAACCAGGGCTACATAGTGAATCTCTCAAAAGAAACAAACAAAAAAATGAGGTCCTTAAGAAAAAGACGGGCAAATGAGCCATGTAGTTAGCTTGGACCTCTGAAGCAGTCTTGCTTAGATGTCTAAATCATACTTTTTCTCTCTCCTTCTCTTCCTCCTTCTTTTTCTCCTGCTTTCCCTCCGTCATCCTCCCCAACACCCCCTCTCTTTTCAGTGATGGAGCTTGAACTGACAGCCTCATACACGCTAGGCAAGCACTATTCAACTCAGCCCTTTTTTTGTTTTGTGTACACATGGTCTTACTAATATACCCAAGTCAGTTGTGAACTCTCTGAATAGCCCAGGCAGGCTCACCTAAAACTTTCAACCTTTCAGCCTCTGCCTTCGTGGAAGTAGGTAGGATTACAGCAGGCCGAGAAAAATGTCTCCATCCCTAATACATAAATACATTTTGTTAGCATTTTTTTTCCAACAGGTACTCATTCGGTAGCCACAGCTGACATAGAACTCACTTCAAAGCCCAGACTAGTCTCAAACTTCTGTGATCTTCCTGCCTCTGTGTCCCAAACACTGGAATTATACCCATGAGCCACCTCATCTAGCTACTTTGGTCGATTTTAAAGTTATTGAAAGAATTTGAAAGATTAAAAAAAAAGTAATGTGGTATACTTATCTATCTATCTATCTATCTATTTATTTATTTATTTATTTATTTATTTATTTATTTTTTCCAAGACAGGGTTTCTGTGTGTAGCTTTGGCTGTCCTGGACTCCCTTTGTTGACCAGGCTGGCCTTGAACTCATAGAGATCCACCTACCTCTGCCTCCTCAGTGCTGGGATTACAGGCATGTGCCACCATGCCCAGCTACTTTTTAATTTCTAATCAAAGGAAATATTTACTCAGAAAAATTTTAGCTAAATTACTGACACTAGTACATCAGACAAAGTGAGCCAAATTACAAAAACAACTATGGCAAACAACACTAGAATGGTATGCTTTTTATTTATTTTATTTAGTATTAATATTTAGCAAGAAAGAGAGCGCCAGAAAGACAGGCAAGTACAGACAGACGTGTGAATGCATGATATAAAAGCATGGATCAGAGGACAACCTGCAGGACTTGAGTCTCTTCTTCTACTATGTGGGTCCTGGGGCTCAAACACTGGTCAACAAGCTTGTTAGCAAGTGCCTTATTCCACAAAATCATCTCACCAGCCCCTTACTTGTCAGAAAATTAGAGGTTCATGCTTCACTGGATATGATTTATACCTTAAGCATGTTTCATTTCAATTTTAGTTATTAAAGTATCTGCATTAAAAAATAAACAAAAAAAAAAGGAACAGTGTTTATCTATGAAATTTTGTAGAGCTCGGTGGAAATTCTTTTTAAGTTTATTATTATTAATTAACTTGGTGTGTCTCTTTGTCTACATGTATGTCTGTGTACCATGGTGGTCATGGAGATCAGATGAGGGTATCAAAATCCCTGGAGCTGGAGTTACAGACAGTGGTGAGCTGCCATGTGGGTGCTGGGAATCGAACCCTGGTCCTCTGGAAGAGCAGCCGGTGCTCTCAACCACTGAGCCTTGTCTCTAGCCCCTTGTGGAAATTCTTGACTCACCCTAGGAGAGACTTCAACCAGACTTGATGAGAGGCCCCCTTCCCTCCCCACGTCTTTAATTTTCTTCATCTCTGCTATCCTGTCTGAAGAAGAGTGGCATTGTTTCAATTTTTGCAAATCTCTGGTTTAATACAGGACAGTCGGGAGGCTGAAGGTCTGTCTAGCTCACAGGTAAAAGGGCTTGCCTAGCAGCTGGAATGATCCATCTCTTTTTGCATTCCTTCCATTGCACTGTCTCAGAAGACAGCCTCTGGAAAACACCATACAACCATGAGAAAACGAGTGGGATATATTTAGTGTAACGAAAACTGCTTTTCTCCCAGCAGATCTCTCGAAAGGCACTTTGAAACCTACTAGAGAGAAATATCTCGGGACCAAGTTTGTTTTCAGATTCTTCTGCACATTCCTAGCACGAGGGTCGCCAGAATAAAGACGCTTTTAAAACAACACGAACTCACTTTTGAAAAATTACCTTGCGCTTAATAACAGGTTTTGACGTAACTTAAGATGGCAGCTGTGGCTCTTAGTACTGAGCCGTACAATGACGTCACAAGCTACTTCCGCTCACTCTCTTTGAGTTGGCCACTACATTTCCCAGACTGCTTTCCCAACGACAATACCATTGGTGGGCGCAACCGGAAGTGCACCTGACGGAAGTAGAGGGTCTGGGAGGCCGGAGCGGTAGAGAGCGGAGCTGTGAGGTTGCGGAGAGCGCCGTGGGTTTCGCGGCGTGGGGTGAGGACTGTGGCCGGGGACAGGCGCGGGGCGGCGCGGGCTTTTCTAACCTTGACTTAGATCTGGGAGGAGAGCGACAGCCGCGTAGAAGCGAGGCCTGCGTCTTCCTGACCCGCTGTTTTAACTTTTCTTGGAACGGGTTAGGAAGAATTCGGACTCCAACGCGACAATGGGCCAATGGCGTGGTTTTGCTACGACCAGAAGAAGGGTCTGACTCAGCTTCTAGGGCGGCCGTGGTTAATAGGCTGCGCGTAATAATTACTCGGGTCACTTAAAAAAAAAAAAAATACAGGGGCCCTGGCTCCACTGCAGACCAATAATGTCAGGATCTGGACAGCAGCGTCGCGCAGCGAGGGTTGAGAACCAGCCCCCAAAACCTGGTTCTACCGCTCGAGGATCCTGTGAGAACATCTGCGCAAAGACTTCCCTTCCAGAATTAGCCACCTAGGCTGTACGGTTTGGCATTTCGGTTAACTTGATGAGCACGGTTTGGGCACAGGTGCCATCTTGGGCTCCACAAGAAACTTACTTCGTTTTCCCGTGGCGATGGTCGTAGCCCAGGCGGACTTTGTTGTTTTCTGTTGCTGACTTGGTCATTTAGTTTGAACAAAGATTAGAATCGTTTCTTTTTCTTCCTGCCACTGTTTTGGCCTCTGCCTAATTTTTGCCACCCAGAAAACAGCAGGACGTGAAAGAGTCGCATTAAAATCAGCCTTTTAAATTAGGGTATGGATTGAGGGTCTGGCTGAGTGGTTAAAACGGTGACTTAATCTATTTGGGGGTTGGGGAAGGAGCTAATATAGGGTCTCATGTAGCCTAGGCTAGCCTCACACTTGCTATGATGCCAAAGGATGACCTTGAACTTCTGGACTTCCTGCCTCCATCTCCTAAATGATGCAGGGATACGCCACTACACTTGATGATACCCTGTTTTTAAAAATGACTCCCTTGGCCCAGCATGGTGGCACTTGGTGGTTGGAGGAGGCAGAGGGCAGGTGAATCTCTGAGTTCGAGGCCAGCCTGGTCTACAAAGAAAGTTCCGGGAGAGCCAGGGTTACGAAGAGAAATCCTGCCTTGAAAACCACAACAATAAACTAATTAAAATAATGGCTCCCAGGCAAAAGTCAAGTTGTATTTGGGAATTGGATGCAGAGGTTTATTTAGGTGTGAAAGACAGAATTTAATACATACATAAACATCATTACATAAAATATTTTTTTTTCTTTTATTCTTTTTCCAGACATTTAGCCTTGCTTCCTTCCCTGAACTCAGCATGGAGGAGAAGTCAGAAAACTATAAGGTTCCAGAAGATCTGTTCAATGGTTTGAAAGTTACAGACTCTCAGGGAGCAGTGTCTGCTAGCCCCCAGGTTCCTGATCCCAAGGATCAGAGCAAGCCACTAAAGGATGCTGAAACGCATCCCCAGGAGGACCATGGGGAAGAGGAGTGTTTTCATGACTGTAGCGCCTCATTTGAGGAGGAGCAATCAGGGGCGCACATGTTGGGGAACAAAGCCAGTGATGACTCAAGTTCTGAACTGGATGAAGAATACCTAATTGAACTGGAAAAAAACATGCCAGAAGAAGAGAAACAGGTAAAGGGCTGTGGGTTATCTGCCTCTTAAGCCACTTTTGTTGGCGGTGGTGTTGCTTTGGGGGGATATGTTCTCACAGTGTCATCTTGATTGAACTGAAACTTAATATGTAGAATGAACTTACAACAATCCTCTTGCCTTTGCATTCCAAATGCTGATGTTACAGACCTGAGCCATCATGCCTGCCTTACTTAGAACTCTTCTAAACTTTTAATTCATTACTGTGTTTGTTTTCTGAGGCAAGGTGTGACTGTAAAGCTCAGCTTGAACTCTACCTCCCAGTCTTCCTACCCTCACTTCCACAGTATTGTGACTATAGCATGCAGAACCATTCAGCCTAACAAAGAACTTGCTGGGTTTTCCCCATGTATTTAGAACTCGATCTTCTACCTCAGTGATCTATAACATGCTTATAACATGTATCTATACTTATACCTTTACCTTCTTGGTTTTTTTGTGGCTTTAGAGATCAAACCCAAGCCCTGGGCAGGTGCTCTACTGCTAAAGTACATTTTCACTGCTGCCTTTTACTTTTTCTTAAATGATGAGTACTAAGGTTAAGTTGCTAAAATTTCTGCAACGAACTTTTTGTAAATGTATTTAGCACTGTGTTATGAGTTGCGCTTGTTGTGTTGGAGAGATGGCTCAGTGGTTAAGAACACAGGCTGCTCTTCCAGAGGTCCTGAGTTCAATTCCCAGCAACCACATAGTAGCTCAAGACCATCTATAAAGGGATCTGATGACCTCTTCTGACATGCAGATGTACAGACAGACAGCCCTCCTACATTTAAAAAAAAAAAATTGTGCTTGTTAATTTTGAATACCTTAGTGGCATTGTAGCTACAGAGCATAGTAAGTGTCAAGGGATACATTGTGGAGGGTAGTAGCTGTTTGTTGGATACAAAAAGTGTACAAGCCACTAAGCTAATGTTATTTGTTTTAAGTTAATGTGTGGGTAGTAAGGACAAGACCACACACTTAATAGATGATAAAACTGATTTCTCCAACCACATTACCTAGACCAAAGTCCAGAGTGTGTAGCATTTAATGAGAAAAGTATAGCATTTAATAAGAAAACTTCATTCTCAGCTTCCCTGTCTTGGAACTGCCCTGCTGGCACCCTCCTTTGTTACCTGACAGGATAGTCAGAGAAGTTACTATGGTGTTGGAACTTATCTGCAAAGAACATGAATGAAGATTGTAGTTTATGCCACGAAAGAGTTACTTACTGAAGTGTTTGGGATAGAGCACCAAAGGAATAGGTTGAGATAGGATGTGGTGGCAGATTCAGGTTCCATAAAGAATCACTAAAATGGATTTCATGTGAAGGATCATTTAGGAAAGCTGAGAAGAGATCCAGCAACAACAGACAAAACAAGGAAATCCCTTCTTTTATGTATTTTTAGAAGGGACGGTTCTGACTGCAGATACGGCCTTACCGCAAGATGGGCCTGCCTTGTCACTCCCATGTGCTGTGAGCTTAGCAAAAGTACTAGCTAGGAAATAGGACCACCAATCAGGGTGTCATGGTCTTGGGCTCCACTATCCAGCCCCACACTCCCACCTCAGGACTTCTGAGTTCAGTCATAGCTGGAGAAGCAGCAAAGGGGCCTGGCTAATTCTTTTACTGCCATATCATCTGTGATCTTACAAGAAGAAACATCCTTAGTTTATCTCTTCTTACCCGTTTCTCCCCTTCTTTCTTTGAGGTGGTTTGCTTGTTTTGAGACAGGATCTTAAGATTTAGCCCTGGCTGGCTTCAAATTATGACAATCCTGCTGATTCCTGTGTTACAGCTTCCCAACCTACTGAGCTTACAAGCATAGGCTACTGTGCCCTAGTTTGTTTTCCCTTGAGACAAGGTCTTGAAATGTAGCCCAAGATTTGTACTCATCATCCTCTTGCCTCAGCCTCCTGCATGCAAGTATCGTTGGCATATGTCTCACATGCACTTTTCACTCTTAAATAATTGGTCTTAACATGAAAGTTATCTTTGGGGCAGACAGTAGGGTAGGGAGGATTTTGGAATGGGGTCTCCTGAGATAGCTCTGGCTGGGTTCAAACACTCTGTAGTTTAAGGTGACCTTGTACTTCTAATCCTCCTGCCTCTACCTTCTAGGAGCTGAGATTGTAGCCCAGGCTAGCCTAGAACTCATACAAATCCTCATTCCTTAACTGAGTATTGAAGTTATAGATATGAGCTACCAGGATGACTAGAACTTTTTTGTCCATTTGTTTTGGAATGGGGTTTTTGTTTTGTTTTGTTTTGTTTTGAGGGGTCATGAAATAGGGTCTCAGGCAGCTGAGTCTGCCGTTAGCCAACTCTTGATCCTCCTGCTTCTACCTTCCAAATGAATAAATATTTGCAAGTCTGCTAGATTTAATATCAGAAAATACTGAGAGACAGATTTTGGGTGCATATATGTGTTTGGAGTGTATGTGTGTCTGTGTCTGTCTGTCTGTGTTTATGTATGATCAAACCCAGGCCATAGATAGATAGAGTCATACCTCCACCTGAGACAGTTTTTACTAACAGCTTTTTTTCTGATTGTGGATCAAGCTTCTTTGTGTGTGCACACATGCATGCATTAGTTCATTTTATTTGTTGGTTTTTGGAGATATGGTTTCTCTACGTGGCCCTGGCTGTCCTGGCTGTGTGAACCAGGCTGACCTTGAACTCTGAGAGATCTGCCTGCATCTGCCTCTGCCTCCCCAGTGCTGGGATTAAAGGAGTCCATAGAGATCTTGATTTCACCGTCCTCTTTCCACTGCCTTACAAGTAGCTAAAATTACAGGTATGTGCAACCAAACCCAGCAAAAACAAGAGATTCTTGATTCTTGATTTTTTTCATCTGTAAAAAGAGCTGCATGCTCACCTCTCTTTGTTTTGGGAACACAAGTGAGCTGATAGGTGTGGCAGAAGGCAGTAAGCAGTGAACTGCTGTATTAGTAAGGGGTGTGAGTTTTTAGTACTGTAGTGGAGTACAGTTTGGAGCCAGGTGTGATAGTCAGCCTGTAATCCTAGCAGGTTGTGGGACTAGGGCATGAAACTTGCTGTGAGTTAGAGGCCTATCTGAACAGAGGCAGAATTTAGGTATTGAAAATTTGATCACTCAAGGGTACTAGTTTTCCTTGGCAGCTTTTCTGATGCTTGACAGTACAGAACACTGTTACTATTTCCCCTTAAGATCTTTGCTCATACTGAGTAAAAAGCTTTGTAAAATTTCTTGGTTCCAATTTCTGCGAAAAATAGAATCCAAGAGCAGATGTTTCCTGTGAGACTTCTCTGGAACATATTAAAAGGCATTGTGGAGGTGGGTGAGAGAGCTCTTCTGCACATGGGAAGATTCTGTTCATAAAGAGACCTGGGAAGGGACCTGTAGTGCTGCAGAATACCAGCCCTGCCGCCATGCGTGCATGAGAGATTTCTGGTGCTCAGCCTGTCAATGAAGTCTGTCCTTGAGTTTCAGGAACATTGCAAGGTACATGGGCTATTCTTTGAAGAATTGTGTTCAAGCCACAGAATAAACTCCTATGTATTTGGATCAAGTTAGTCTCTTGACACAACTAGGAAGATAGTTTGGCTCTCGCCCTAAAGTGCCATTTTTAGCTGTTTTCGTGGAGACAGTCAACGTGCATTAATCCTCCCTGAATTTACAACATCAGTGGAGCAGGAGATGGTGGATCTATCCACTGTGCTGCACACTAGGAAGCTGGATTCCAATTTGTCACTGAGAAGAGATTAACTGACCTCAGAGTTATATTCCAGAGTTCTTGGTAAGGTCAACTTTTAGACCTCCTAATTATGAAGAATTGGTAAAAATTTCTTAGGCTGACCTGGATTGTCTATCCTTTTGTAGAAGGCCCAATGAAAACAGAATGTTAAAATTTACCAAGGAATCAGTAGTCTCATGTCTTTCCTCTTTCCTTGCAAGAGTCTCATCTGGTTGGCTGCTTAATCTGCAGAAATACCCTTACGAATTTTGTCTCTGGAGAACAGACATGAAAGGAGATTGAGATTAGAGTTAAAACAGGGCACAAAAGTCCTTAAAGGCTGGACAGAAGCTGACAGATTTCTGCATTAAAATGATTGTTTTCTTGGCTCTTAAGCATCCAGCCCTGCATTCCTGTTTGCAGGCTTCTCTTGTGTTGGTACCATGTTGAGTGGCTATACTATTGTCTATCACTCCCCGCTATACTATTGTCTATCACTCCCCTACCTAATAAAGAAATCAGAGAACCTGTGTGCAGCTTGTTGCATATTTCTGACCAAGACCTTGAATCTAGATAAAGTGAGACAAAGACATGGAGGTAATTAGAATTTAATTTGCTGCTTTTGCAGTCTGTCTTGGCTAGACTAAGCACTTGCATTTTCTGCTTTGGTCATCAAGAGACTTGCTTTGCACCCTAACTGTCTGTTCAGCTTATACTTGAAACTTGCCATTGGTAGCTGAGTTCCTTATCTCTTTCTGTAAATATACTCCCTAATATGCTTTGCTGAGGATTGTGTTTTTCTGGTGTTCAAAACCTGTAGCCAGAGCAGCAGAGAACATTACAGTCCAGTCACCTCTCATGAGTAGTATTGGAAAAATACAATCTTAGCATTACCGTTTTTCTTTTTTGTCATCACTGCCACCCGTCTAGCTGTATACTCTTAGAACAACCCTTCTCAAATGTGACCTATGAGAAAGGGGTGTGTTTGCTTTCTACTTTTGGTGTTAGCAATTAGCTCTAGAGCCTCAAGTATGCCAGGCAAATGCTCTAGGGCTGGCATGCTCTATCCTGAAATGAATTACTGTTGTGTACATACAAATGTCTGTCTGGTGCATAGTAGATACCATTAAAAAGTTGTGTCAGTTTACACCAGGCTTTTTGCATCCCTACCAAGATTCAAGTGTTCTGTTTGATCCAACATCTAACAATACATGGCCTTCTCAGTAGCACATTTAACAAGTCTTCTCAAAAGAAGTAAGATTTCTATTTTGGTCTCTAGTCTTTTTTTTTTTTTACTTAAACGCAGTGTTACTCTCTGTAGCCCTGGCTGTCCTGAAACTTACTCTGTAGACCAGGCTGTCCTCAAACAGCAAAAGGATCTGCCAAACTCTCCCTCTAGAGTGCTGGTATTAAAGGTGTGTACCATTACCACCAGACATGGTTCCTAATCTTGAGAGTACCACTTATTTAGGTTTTAAGCTTCTCTTGTACATGAAATAGCCTGCTCACATTAATTTTTTTTTCCCTTTGAAGTTTTTATTTAGTCAAAGGTTTCAGTATTAAATAGAGAGATGGGAGAGGGCTCTATGAGTTGTTTTTATTTGTTTACTTGCTTTCTCGGCGGGGGTGGGGGATGGGGAGTGGACAAACACTATCCAGATATGGAAGGCAGGTCTCCAGGTGGTGTTGCCAGTTTGCCTTGGAGCAACCACATTGTCAGGATGTCCCTTGAAGGAAGCACATACCAGATTCAGCATGTTCTATCTTTTTTCTGCAGGGTAGCATTTGTTCTGCATTTGTGTTTGATAAATTTGAAGTCATCTGTATAAGTTGCTGAATTATTAGAAGCTAAGAGGAGAGAGTCTCAAGTTTAAGTTTTTGTTCTTGGTATGGGGTCTCAGCTGTAGCCCAGGCTGGTTTCAACTTCTCAACAGTCCTCCCGCCTCAGCCTTCTGAATCCTGAGATTACAGCGTGAGCCACTGTATTTCATTCATAAATACTGTGAAAAATTGCGTAATGCTTTGATCTCTTTCAGAAAAGAAGAGAAGAGAGCGCTAAACTAAAGGAGGAGGGGAATGAACAGTTTAAGAGAGGAGGTGAGGTCTACACTTCACTAGTATTTGCTCACTCAATACTTGCCCTTTCAGAGTCCCAGATATACACCAGAGAATAGTTGCGGAGGGCAGTTAGTTCTCTGTGCTTCACCACACCAGGAATTAATCTGTCCTCAGTCACAGCAATTACTATGAGGCTCTTGTACCAACATAGTTTTTTCCTGTAATTTAGGTTTTAATCCAGAAGTCAGGGAGAAAGCTATTTAGCTTATGCTTTGGAAAACCCTAACTGTACAGTAAAAGCAGCATCCAAGTGTCCGTCCCCATTTGCTACCTTCCAGAAGTTTTTATTGTTGTAACAACAATAAAACTTGTTTAGGTTTTTTTTTTCTTTCTGGTTTTTGAGACAAGATCCCACTGTCTAGGCCAAGATAGAAAATGATGCTCCTGCCTTAGCCTTTGGAGAACTAATTAGGTGTATAGACATTTGTCACCACACCCACTTTTTTTCAAGTGTCTTTTTCTGTGATTGTTAATTAGATTTTAATTCTTTTAGCTAACTTCATAAAAAAAAAAAAAAAAAACAGGCTCATATTAGTTAGAAGTCAGAAAAAATCAACAATGGCTGCTTTGGTCCCAAACTAGACAGTGGGAATGTGTGCAAGAGGGAGGGATAACATCTCAAATCACACAGGGTATGAGAGAGGCTGGGGATAAGGCTTAGGAGTTCTGACAACTTCTCCATCCTACAAACTCATCCAGTACACTACACCTGTTTCCCTCCTGGGGCAGCACCATTACTCACCAAGAACCTGTCAGTAGATCCTGTGTTTGAAGATTTCCTCCACCAACAGATAACGCTGGGTTTTCATTCAAACCCCAGCAGTACTCTTTTATTTCTTGACATTTCCTGTCTTTGCTTAAGAATGTTTTGGAGTTTATCCCAACAATACACTTAGTGTTATGCAATCTGTCACATTTCAGAGTGCTCATGACTAAGAGAGCTCTCATGTTTTCCTCTACTTGTTTTTAGGTTAATTTGTTTGTTTGTTTCTTATGATCTCCTTTCCCCCTCACCTGCCCTCAAAAAAGGTCTTCCTATGTAACCTTTCCTGGTCTGGAACTCAATATGTAGAACAGGATGGCCTTGAACTCTTCAGTGATCTACCTGCCACTCCTTCCCAAGTGCTGGTGTTAAAGGTATATGCCTCCATGCCTAGCTGGTTTACTTTTTGTTTTGGTTTTTTGAGACAGGATCTCATCATGTAGCTTTTGCTGTCCTGGAGCTCACTATGTAGACCAGGTTGGCCTTGATTCACAGAGATCCACCTGCCTCTGCCTCCCATGTTCTGGGATTGAAGGCATGTGCTACCATGCCTGGTTTACTTTAATTTTAATACTGAAACCAATAGTTTGTTTCCTCCCTCCCTCCCACCCCCAGTGCTAGGGACTGGATTAATACTGTGCACCTACAATCAAGCATTCCATCACTGAGCTACACCCCAAACCTTTGAATTATCTTCTTCACTTTGAATCATGGACCTCACATTGTATTCTTTCACCCACCCAGCCCCTTAAACCCCCATGGAAATTCATTTCTAAATTACTGAATCAAATGAAAGCTGAACAAGGAGGGCATGCAGCTACTCTTGACCATTGAGAGCTCTTGTCTGGCAGCATGGTCAGCGGTCTCCCAAACACATGCCAGTCTGGTGCCATTGGGAAGAGCAGGTACTGTTTCCTTACAGAGAGAAGAAAGGGGGAACTGATGTTTAAAACCTAATGACCTAGGACCATCTTTTCATTTTTGGTCCTAAGCCGGACATGGTGGTGCACTCTATTAATCCCAGCACTCAGGAGGCAGGGGCAGGTGGATCTCTATGAGTTCTAGGCCAGCCTAATCTACAAAGTAAGTCTAAGACAGAACTCTACAGTAAAACCCTATCTGAAAATCCAAAAGAAAAAAAGAAACAAACTTCGGTCCTCTGAGTAGGAAACTGTATTACAACCTGACAAAATAATAATAATAAAAAAATCATAATGACTGTTCCATCTCCTGGTATTATCCTCAGATTACGTAGAAGCTGAGAGTTCTTACAGTCAAGCCCTTCAGATGTGCCCATCCTGTTTCCAGAAAGATCGATCTGTTCTGTTTTCAAATAGAGCTGCTGCAAGAATGAAACAGGTATGATCCACTGGCCTTTCCCTAGGTGCATGATCTTCCAGTGCTCTGTAGGGTCATTTTTCTCCAAAACTAGTACAGGGCTTTCAAATTGCTATTCTTTTTCTGCATGTATTCCTATGTATTTCCCTGATAAAAAGTGTAGTGAGAGGCTACAAAAATACATAGAGAAGTTTGACTAAGGTTCATTTTAACATTCCTCATTAAAGCATCAGGGAAAATTCTTTGATAAAGGCAGGCTGAGAGGTTCCTACTAACTAGGAACCTGTGAACTAGTTAGGAACTAGTGAAGCAGGGAGGCAAGGAGTACACATCCTGGAATAGGCAAACACTAGTTAAAACTCCAGATTAAAATATGAAAAATCTGATCTTTACATTTGCTTCTTCCTGTTACCACTCTCAGGATGCATTTTGTCACTGCAAAATGGGACCTAAAAACCCTTCAGTATCAGTAGATGTACAAACTGTGTGCCTGGAGGATCTGAGACTCTGCTTCTGCAGTTGCCTCAGTTAGTGATTTGTTGTTGTCATTTAAAATTTTTTATTTTATTTTGACTTTTATATGTTTTTCTTTTTTGTTTTGTTATTATTGTTTGTTTTGAGACAGAGTTTTGGTAGTCCCATTATGGCCTGGAATGCGCTGTCTAGCTTATGTTCGCCTCAGACTCTGCAAGCTATATAGCTATCTTTCTGTTTCAGCCTATCGGTGCTATGATGACAGCTGTAAGCCATCATCTTCTTCAATATTTTTAAAGCTGGACTAGCATAATAAACTAGTTGTTTTGGTTATTTTACTATTATCTGTAACAGAATCTCATTTGTAGTTCAGGCTGGCCTCATCTCTGCAGTCTTTTCAGCCTCAACCTTCCAAGTCCTGGGATTACACAAATGAACTACCACTCTACCACTCCTGTCTAGACAAGGAATTACCAAAATTTGTATTCTTGCTGATGTTAAGTGTATGTGTCCTAGAAGACCCAAAGCAAGTGGTACTCTGACTGCTCCTGTGCAAACAATATCTTTATTAGCGCTGAGTTTGGGGGTCATTTTGTTTTGTTTTGTTTTTTTTAATTGCACTTACATACTTGTACTAGTTCATTTTCTTGTTGCCATGATGGGAGACCTGAAAAAAAAGAAATTTAAGTCAGGAGGAGTTTATTTTGGCTCACTGTTTCAGGGTGTACAGGGAAGGCACGGCAGCAGGCGCGTGAGGTAGCTGGTCACACTGCATCTGCAGTCAGGAAGTGATGTGTGCTCAGCTGGCTCTTTCCTCTTCGTTTAGTCTTGGACCCCAGAACATGGACAGGTGCCACCAGCATGTAGGGTGGGTCTTCTTGCTTCAGTCTCAAAGCTCACTTGCAGACATCCAGAGGTTTGTTTCTCTGCTAGTACTAACTCCTGTCGGGCTGACAATCAAGATTAACTGTTATAATGTTGTAAGAAGACCATAAATTAGAGGCTTAAAAGTTGAGAAGAAATCAGGAGAGTGAGACAGCAGGATTACCAGGAATTCCAGGTAAACCTGGGCTACCGAGTGACAATCCATCCCCACAAAAAAAAGAGAAAAGTAAATAAACAACAACAATAAAACCATAAATTGTTTTAATTAATTGAGAAGAATTTCAGAAAGGCAAGTTTGCAGGCTGGCTAGTATTGCTGCCTGGGAATCCCTGGGCAAAATACACATTTCATTTCTGAAGGCAGTGAAAGCCAACATGGTTTAAGTGGCTTTTACTCTAGGTCTAGCTAACTAATCCCAAAAAGAGTAGGCTCTTTAAAGGAAGCAAAAGGCTTTATGTTGTTTTAAACTACTGACTTTATATGTCATATAGATTGCTTTACATGTATGGGTTTGTTTATCCTTGTGTTTTAAACCAAGGATGTTGCAGTGAGTAAAATGCCCCAGTTCCTCAACTGAATAGACCAACTAGTGATAAGATGTACTACAACCCGATTACAGCTTCAAGGGAGCTGGAGGATGGCTCAGGGCGTGTGAGTGCTCGCTGAATGAAGGATGTGACTTCAGATCCCAGCATCCACTTAAAAAGTTGATGTGGCCATGAGATGCCCGAAACAAAGCACTATAGGGGTGCAGGGACAGCAGAATTGCTAAGACTTGCTGGTCACTGGCAGAGAGTGGTAAAGAAAACCGACAGCAGCATTCTCTGCCAATGGGCGCATAGGTGAGGCATACATATAAATTGTCATAGTAGCTTCTAGAAAGAGCGTACTATCTCAAGTGTACATCAAGTGTACATTTAAATTGTAAAGGCTTTTTTTTTTTAAAAAAAAAACAAAATTATTTGATGACATTTCTTCACTTTGGAAATCTGTTAAGTAGGAAGAAACAGACATAAAGTTATGCTCATTTCTCAATTATAGTATATCTTCTTTCTCCCTCTTCCTCCTCCTCCTCTTCTTGCTCCTTCCTCCTCTTCCTCCTCCTGTTCCTCCTCCTCCTCTTCTTAAAATATTCTTTTTTCATCTAGGTCTTCTCTGTAAACAAGTTCCAGGTTTCAAGTTATATAAAGTCCATAAAGACTAAGATAATTTGAGGGCTGAAGAAATAGTTCAGTTTGTTAAGTGATTCCCTGTCAGCATGAGAACCCACATTCTGTCTTCAGAACCCAAGAGAAAAAGTTGTGTGTTATGGCATGTGCTTCTAACCAGGGCTGGGGAAGCAGATCCTTGGAGCTCAGTAGCTGGCCAACTTAGCTTACTTTATGAATCCCAGGCCCAGGTGAAATATTAAATAAGAATGTGGCGGTGACCTTGATGTTCACTGATTCTTCTAGAGAAGCTAGTTTCCTTCCCCAACTTACCTTTTAAATATCCCTCAAATAATAAAAATCTTTTCTATATGGAATGTAAATTCTTTCATTGTATTGATTTCTATGATAAAACCTGATTATAGGATATTTGACTTCTATTTTTCATTGATAATTAGAATTAGGTTTATTAAAGTGATACATACTGTCAATAAGGCTGACCCAAAATAGCACACTTTTAAGTTGACATTCAATCTCCAAATGTATCACAAATCCTAGCACATTCTCCACTACGGACTTATATTTTGTCTAGTGTGCATAAGACATTTCAAAAGTAATTGTTCACACCATGGACATTTACAGTTCACTTCCCCTGTTCATCGATTTTACATGATCCAACTATGTTAAGGTTTTAAATGTCCTGGTTTAGCAATTTCAGGAAATAACCATCTTTCTTTGTGCTCTTGCATTTTTTGAGCCATTTCTCCAGCCACAGTCTTTTGATGACGATTATTATTATTCTCTCATATATTACATCCTGACTATAGTTTCTCCTCCCTCCTTTTTCCCCAGTTTCTCCTCACCCTACCCTAGATCCACCCTCACTCCACCTCCCCTCAGAAACTAGCAGGCCTCCCAGGGATAGCAACCAAACATGGCAGAGCAAACTACAATAAGACCAGACCAGACGTATACCATCAGTATACATAGTTTTTGTTTGTTTGTTTGTTTTTAAGACAGGGTTTCTCTGTAATCTTGGCTGTCCTGGAACATGCTCTGAAGACCAGGCCTTGAGCTCAGAGATCCATCTGCCTCTGTTTCCTGAGTACTGGGATTATGTCTGTTTAACTTAATACTCATCTCTGATGATCAGATCATGCCAGTGGGCCCTTAAGCCCTTGAGATGAAACTAGAGGAATTTATGTGAATGTCGTCTGTCATCTTTCCTTACAGGACAAGAAGGAGATGGCCATCAGTGACTGCAGCAAAGGTAAAAATTTCTGTTGACAAAAAGGATCGTTGCCTCAACTAGACAGACAGGTTTGGATGTGTACTTAGGCAAGTGTCCCCTCATACTGGGGCTTTTTAAGAAGCAGCTTTGTGGGATAGCATTTTCAGGGACTCTTCGTAGAAGTCATCTGAGAGAAGCATGCTTTCAAGTGGATTTTCAGCCTATTTCTTACAGTAGTAAATATGTGAAAACATTTGAAGCTGTCTCAGCATCAGAACTGAAGTGTGGAACAGAATTCTCCTGTAGCCTTTAAATTACTTGCCTTTGTGACTCAATAAGGATCTTAGTTGCTGAACTCACACTCACAGCTGTTTGGATATATACATGTGTAGATCATAGTCTATGATCTTCATATAGAGTTTTTCCATGCAGGTTTTTTTTTTTTCCTGAGTTTAGATCACTTAATATTATACTCTAATTTCATTCATTTTCCTGAAAAATATTTTACAGCTGATTAATATTTCACTTTGTGTATGTACCACATTTTTCTTACTTATTTGTCTGTTGATGGGCATCTAATTTGGTTTCATTTCTGTGGCATTGTAAATAGAGAAGTAATAAACACTGGTGTGCATCTATCTTTCTGATAGGGTATCTCGCTCTCTAGCTATACACTCAGGAGTAGAATAGCTGGGTTATATGGTAGTTCTATTTTTAATTTCTTGGGGAACTTCCAAACTGAGGCCCATGGTGGCTGTATTAATTTGCACCACACCAGTAATGAATGACAGTGCCTTTAAAGGTACTCTCAACTCTTTCTTGAGATAACAGTTTCTTTTTTGTTTACAGCAATTCAGTTAAACCCTGGCTATATCCGTGCAATACTGAGGAGAGCAGAGTTGTATGAGAAAACGGACAAACTAGATGAAGCACTGGAAGATTATAAATCGGTATTAGAAAAAGATCCATCAGTCCATCAAGCAAGAGAAGCTTGTATGGTAAAACAAAATTTAAAGTTTTTTCTCAGGGCAGGTTTGGGGGTGCCTGGTTTTTAATCCTAGCACTCGGGAGGCAAAGGTAAGGGGATCTCTCTAAGTTCAAAGCCAGCCTGGTCTATTTATGTTCCAAGTCTATTAAGTTCCAGGACAGCCAGAGCTGTATAAGAGAGACCCTGTGTTCAAAAAGAAAACAACCAAAAAGTATTTTCTCTTTCTTTTGCTTTGTGTATAGTGAATCTTTAGTCTTTTGGATCACAACTAAATTTTGTTATTATGATTACCAAAATACTTGGGAAATAGATCTTTGTGATGGCTACTTACTTGCTGGAACTGTGTGCCATTTGATCGCCACCTGAAAGTAACATGAATGAGTCAACATGAGTGCACACGGTGTAAGCACTAGGCAAAAGAAAACTAATTATGGAACCAGGTGGACTACATAGAAAGACCCTATCCCCACCCAATAAATAAATAAATGGTCTGTGTAAGCTTTTCTTTGTCGCATCAGAGATATTTGTCCCCTGTAGTAACACAGGTTACTGAATGAGTCCTCTAAACTATTGTGCATGAGTGTTTTGCCTGTATGTATGTATGTGTACCACATGGTGTTTGGTGCATATAGAAGTTACAAGAAAGCATCAGATCTCCTAGAAATGGAATTATGGGTGATTGTGATATACCCCTTTGTGTTTGTTCACTTGGAAAAATGTATCAGTCTAGCCCAAGTTGACCTAAAACTCATCATCGTCTTGCCACCACTTATTTTGGTTTTTCTGGGGACAAAGAAAGTCTTAATATGTAGCCCTGGCTGGCTAGTAACTCTTTACTTAACGAGACTGGCCTCTAGCTCTCAGTGATCCTTCTGCTTAAGCCTAGAAAAGTACTAGGATTACAGGTGTGTGCTCCACAACTGGCTTATTCACCAAACTTTTATTGAGGTCTTCTTTTGATCTTATACTTTACTTACACTTCACTATTTTACAAGCATCAGAATATTTAGAAACATCATTTTCTATTTCAGATAGCATTTACAGATCAACATTTTTTATAGCAACATACTTTCACAACTACACGTAATTATTGGCTCCACCTTTCTTATTGTCTGCTTGCTTCAACAACTAAAATTTCATTTTACATCAAAACATCACTTTGGTTTTGAAGCAGCAGCGAGATACTGACATTTCGTTGACATCTATTTATTGATGAGGTTCATATTCTCTTAGTATAATAAGTATGATATCCAATTAGTTACCTCTAGCATCAACCTAGAAGAGAATAATTAACATACTTATTTCACTTTTAATTAACATTTCTTTATCTAACATCCTTCTTCTTATCGCATTCTTAATTCCCCAAATCAACATATATACAGAAAAAGCATATCCCTATGAATGTGGCTTCGACCCTATAGGCTCTGCCTGCCTACCATTCTCAATAAAATTTTTCAATTACATTCCTTCTATTTGACCTAGAAATATCCCTTTTACTACCCCTACCATGAGCTGTTCAATCACCAAATATTCACCAAATAATATTTTACACCTTCATTCAACTATCAGTTCTATTTCTAGGCCTAGGATAGGAATGAACACAAAAAAGCCTAGAATGAACAGAATTAACTGCTGGTAATTAGTTTAACGAAAGTTAATGATTTTGACTCATTAGATTATGATAATTTCATAATTACCAAATAATGACACCTATATTACTTAACTTAATTTTATCATTTATTTTCTCTCTATTAGGAACTCTCATTTTTTGATCCCATTTAATATCAACACTTACGTTTAGAAGGAATAATACTCTCCTTATTTATCATAATCTCTTTATCAGTTCTTAATTCTAACCCAATAATTTATTTTGAGTACCCATCATTATTCTAATATTTTGCAGCATGCAAAGCAGCTGTGGGTTTAGCATTACTAGTAAAAATTTCAAACATATACGCAACAGACTATGTCCAAAACCTTAATCTCTTACAATGCTAAAAATTATTTTTCCTTTATTAATATTAATCCCCTTAACCTGATTATCAAACAAAAAATAATCTGAATTAACGTATCATCACAGTTTTCTAATTAGCCTTATTAGTCTAATTCTATTATGACATAATGATATAACTAACATTACCTTTTCACCCATATTCTTTTCCGATGTCATCCCAACCCCATTTGATCTAGACATTGTTTAGACATGAGAATGTGATGACAAGACTCAGCAGGTAAACGCTTTCTGCCAAGCCTGATGCCATGAGTTCTATTCCTAGAACTTACATGGTAAGAGGAAAAAAACTGTCTCCAGACACAGATGCATGTAGATACACACACACTCAAATGTAATTTAAAAAGAACTGAGAGCTAGAGAGATGACTCAGTAGTTATGAGTACTTCCTGCTCTTGTAGAAGACTCAACTGAGTTCCCAGAACCCACATCAGGTAGTTAACAACCACGTAGAACTTCAGCTAGAGGATTCTACACTGTCTTCTGGCCTTCTGACATAAACACACACACACACACACACACACACACACACACACACAAAAGCAAATATTTTTTTAGGAAAAGTGAGAATATGGGAGGTGAGTTGGAGTAAGGCTTGTGATAATGGACTTATTTGTAGCATTATTAAGTCACTGCTTTTACCAGCATGAGAAAAGGAGATAGGATAATTGATAGTAAATAGGGTCAAAGAACATGATATATTTAAAATGCAGTCCATTAGATTATATAACTAGCATACCCTAGTAAAATATTCACAGTGTTCTGGCACATACCTGTGATCCCAGCAGGTGGAGAAGAATGCCACAAATTCAAGCCCAGCCTGGAGCAACACTTTGTCTCAAAAAAAAAGGAAAAAAAGAAAAGAAAAGAAATCTATTTGTAGTCTATTTGCAACACCAGTGCATTTTTTCTCCTTTATTTTTCTTTAACTTGTCTGGTTTTTACATGATATTTTTAAACACTTCTCAAATTTAAGTAAGAATTTTTACCAAATGCTATTTCTTCTTTTTTCCTCAGAGATTACCTAGGCAAATTGAAGAACGTAATGAAAAATTAAAAAAAGAGATGTTAGGTAAGTTTGCTTTTTTTACTTTCTTTTGATTCATAACAGCCAAAAACCGTCATTGTTTTTATTCACTTAGAGAACATAGCAGTTCAGAATCTCTTTGAGGCATATGTATAAATGTGCCATGTATATTGTTGAGACTGCTGTGTGTGTGCATGTGTCTGTGTGTCATTGTAACTGCAACTTTGCTGCAATACTAGGGACAAAGCCCTTCTCAGCTTTTTTTTTTTTTTTTTTTTTAATTTCGGAAAGTGCAATTTGTCTTAGATAGGGGATCAGCTTTTTCAGGAACCAAATTTTTACCTTGTCTTTCACATGATAATTTCAAAAAGCAGTTTAGTTTCTGCATTACATAATCACCTCTTAAGGTTTTAAGTTTATTTAGTGTGTAGTCATTACAACCAGTAATGTCAGAGTTTTGGTTTGAAAATGGCACTAAAAATCTTTTTAGTGCTTGAGAAGACATGAGAAATATGTGCAATGGGGAGAATGTTGAGGAGATTACTCAGAGGACCTGAGTTCAGAGCCTCACAACCCATATTTTTAAAAAATGCTAGGCAGAAGGGACTACACCTGTAATCCTAGCACTGAGAAGATGGAGACAGGAGGGCCCCTTGCCCTCTATGGCCAGCTGCTCTTACTGAATTGGGAAGTTCCAGGTTCAGTGAGAGACCCTGTCTCAAAAAATAAATCAAACAGGAATAGAAGATACCCAGTGTGGCCTCTGGTCTCTACTTGCACGCCTGTGGACATGTGCACAAAATGGAGAAAGGGTAGAAGGGGTAGTTGGGGCAGTGGATTCATTTATCCCATTATCTAGTTAGTTTTCATATTTGTCTGAACATTTCCTAGTTAGAATCAGAGCTCTTGCATTTTGCTTTATCAAGAACATGGTTCCTAGACAAACTGTATTGTCTGTTTAACCTTTCTCACACATCTCTGCTCAAACACTGCCACATCTTCCTTATGAATACTTTCACAATCTTTGATATGCATTGCAAGGGCATGGGCCTAAAAGAAAATATAAAATACATTAGCTTCACCATATATGGCTTGACATCAGTGTTTAGAGAAGGTGCACAGACTTTCCAGTAGATCACTCAAGTAGGTGAATTAATGGACTTTATACACTCTTAACCTTCTTTTGCCCACAAAATTTTTACAGGATTCTATGCATACAGGTAATGCATACAATATATATATCAAACATTCATTGATAATGAATCATGAACTTTATTTAAAGTAACTCTTTAAGAAGCTAGAGAGAGAGCTCAGCAGTTAAAAGCATTTATTATTCTTGGAAAGAACCGTGTTTGGCTCCCAGAACCCATGTGACAGCTCACAACCATCTGTAATTACAACTTCAGAGGATCCGGCGCTTCTGACCTCTCTGAGTTCTTCCATACACATACACTCAGATGCACACACATAAGATGAAGTTAATATTCCAAAAATGATAATTCTTTAACAGAATTTAGCGTGTCTTAAATATAAGAGCAAATTTGCATAGTAATGAGAAATGTATTTTTACATAAGAATTAAATCTAGGCTGAATATCTGATGCTGCAAGACATAGAACATGTTCATTGTTTTCAGAGTTACTTGATATTTTGATTTTATAATTATCAATCCTAAGAACTCCACGTGACATAAATACATGCTACAAAGTTGCAGAAATATGTTTAGGGCCATTTGGGAAATTTTGCTACTCTGGCCCATGAGCCTAAACTTGCCTTTGGAGAGAGTTTCTCAAAATTTAATGCACAGCCTATTATCACTAGAGCATGGCCAAAATGTTGAATTTCATGTCTACCCCAGACATACTGAAGTGAAACTGGAGTTGAACCCAGCAGTCCAAGTTTTGACAATTTACGTTTAATGATTCTTACTAGGGAATATGACTGCACAGTAAGGAGAGACAATGTGGTAGAGGCAGCTCAGATGAGGGGATCTTATGGGTCAGAGTAGGATGTGGCCATCCCACAGAAGTGCTAGGGAAAAATTTGGCTCAGCAGGTCGGTCACTAGGTTTCATCTTGCCTTTTTTGTGTAATCACAGCAAAGAAAGCATTCCTGCTTATTCTCAGGGTAAATGATCTCACACACAGGATCTTCAAAGGGATGTTTACATAATGAACTACTTGGGCTACTGTGGTAGAAAGTTGCTTTGGGTCAGGGAAACTAAGATTAATCAGAACTGGCTCTCTACTCTTAAACAGCCTTGTGAGTACTACCAGGTTTGACTCTTCTCTACCATAAGATCCTAGTATAGATTCCACCTTTACAAGGGACATGTAGGCATGTTCATGTTGAAGGTGCCAAGTTTGTTACAGGAGGGAATAAGGAAATCTGATTGCTATCAAGCTAAGAGACAGCATTAGCAGCCTAGGACAAGTATGGCAGATAGGCTGCATTGTGGATGAGGCTGCTTTAGCGTTTGAACAGTGACACTGGCCTAAACAGCAACAGGAATGTGTGTGTGTGATTGTGTGTATTAAGCAGTCTTCATAGAAGTTGGCTGCTTCTCTGCCATCATCATAGACAGCAAAAACTGACTTTTTCAGACACTAAAAACTTGAATCCACCATATATGTTGTTATGTTCCTTTGAGTTCCCACTGGCTGAGCTGTGGCTTCAGACTCTTCACCAGGCATCATAGAGATGTTTGTTCCATGAATAAATGTGCTCTTGTATAATATCATGAAACTGTAACTTCCAGAGCACACTTAAGCTTTCCCCATTTGGTCCATTCTTCACTTTGCCACCAAAAGTGTCAAGTTTGAAACTGTTTTCAAGCTGTCAGTGGACTCCTGTGGCATAGCATCGATAGACCACCAGGCCTGGCTCAGGACCTGAATACAGGCAGAATGTGGCCTCCTGTCTTCTTCCCCACCCATTGGCTGTGTGGCTCATTGTCTCTGCCTATGTCCTTTTATTATTATTATTATTATTATTATTTATTATTTATTATAATTTATGCACTATGTATCCCAGCTGTAGCCCCCTCCCTCATCTCCTCCCAATTCCACCCTCCCTCTTTCTTCCCCCTCCACTCCCCTTGCCTAGTCCACTGATAGGGGAGGCCTTCCTCTTCTGTCTGACTCTATCCTATCAGGTCTCATTAGGACTGGCTACATTGTCTTCTTCTGTGGCCTGCACCCCCCAGGGGGAGGTGATCAAAGAGCTAGCCTCTGAGTTCATGGCAGAGACAGCACCTGCTCCCCTGAGTAGGGAACCTGCTTGCATCCTGAGTGAGGTATCCCAGAAGCAGAAAGACACACATGGTATATACTCACTTATAAGTGGATATTAGACTATAACATAGGATAAACATATTAAAACCTATACTCCTAAAGAAGCTAAACAAGAGAAGGACTTTAGGGAAGATTCTTAATCCTCATTCAATAGGGCAAATTGGATAGACATTGGAAGCAGGAGAAGACAGGGAACAGGACAGGAGCCTACCACAGAGGGCTTGTGAAAGACTCTACTAATCGAGGTATCGAAGCAGATGCTGAGACTCATAGCCAAACTTTGGGCAGAATGTAGGGAATCTTATGAAAGAAGTGGGAGATAGAAAGACCTGGAGGGGACAGGAGCTCCATAAGGAGACCAACAGAGCCAAAAAAAATCTGGGCCTGGGCCCCCCTGCAGAGACCTATACCCCAACCAAGGACCATGCATGGAGAGGACCCAAAATCCCTGCTCAGATTAGCCCATAGACTCAGTCTCTTATGCCTGTGTCTTATCTTCCATCAGATTCTCGTTTACGTTATTCTAGAGACCACATTGTGCACATCTTTCCTTCATCTGTACTACAAAAGGAGCTGTACACATGCACATTGCATATGTTAAGTGAATCAGTCCACCAGGTCTTAGGTTTTCCCTACTGTGGAGACCTAACCTTGTGCTCTGCTCTGTGTCTGTCAGATCAGGGTCTTGTGCTGCAGCTTCAGGAAAGCCACCTAGTAGCCTCTACCTGATCTAGTCCTACACACCTAGGCAGCCCATAGGTGGCTGATAATTTTAGTTACCTCTGCATTTGCAGAAGCATGAAATTCAAAGGTCCTCATGCAGGCAGGTCCTTCAGCTAGTTGGGCAAACTGAGGACCTAGGGAAGTTTGAATACTTTACTTTTACCTTGGGATAGTCTTTGTGTAGTCAAAGGATGCTTTTCCTTTAGTACAGACCAGCCTGAAACCAAACTATTAGTGCATAAGAACACTGCACTAATAGAACGTCCTCCATAGAGCATGATGACATACTGTTACCTCACTTTGTAGTCCAGGCTAGACGCATGAACTCATGGCAGTTCTCCCGCTTTAGCCTTCTTAGTGCTAGAATTACAGACGTGTACCATGGACATGTACATGTGGCTTTTTTTTTTTTTTCCTTGCCCTGTTTTAACGACCCCAGAATAGGCTCCTGTTTGTGATTCAGGTTTCCCTAAGGATACCTGTTTTGCTTTTTTTTTTTATGCTGTGATATCCTACCCAAGTATCTGTTCCTGTTTCTGTGCTTCTGGCCTTTTGGCTGCTTGGGGGTACAGGTACCCAAGGTTTATGTCAGTGGTGCTCAAGGACAGCAGCAGTGAGCATGTGCGCTCCAGATTTCAGTTTGGAGCACCTACAACAGAGTGATTGCCCTGGGTTCTGGGAGCTGACTCCAAAATAGATAAACTTTTCTTCAAATATGTTAAGTCTCTATGGGCCAGTTCTCAGATGAAGTCCAGAAGCTTCCACTGTGCAGACCATGCAACTTTACAAGTTCTTCACTTGGTCTTTAGTCTGGTGGGGACTCAGGGTGGTGAATGTTGCTAGCACAGCATAGGAGGGAGCATAGTAGTCTGAGGGCTAAGCTGCCTCTTCCCATCTACCCTCATCCATATCTCCATGAAAGCAGGCCTGGAAGAACGTTAATGTGGTTTAGAAAGCACTGAAACTGTATTCTCCCATTGCAGCCAATATTTTCTAGAGCAGTCATAGTTTTGTAAATTTTTTCTACTATTCCATAAATCCTGAAGATCTGCAAGTTCCATCTTAACACACAAACTCCATGGGCCTCTTCCTTGTTTTTGGTATGTCTTCATTACCTAAGTAATGAATGAGTAAAGCCTGAAGCTGGGGCTGGGGACCCTGAACTGTTGAGATTAGTGGCACTATACAAATGAAAAAGATCTCATCCCCCACCCCAACTCCTGCCGCAAAATAACAGGAGCCTTGTAAAAAGCAGAGTGGAAAGCTGTGTAAATGGGAGAGGCTCAGCAAAATGTTCCATGTTGGATTGAATTCAGCAGATAGCTACTGTCAGTTTTTGTTGTGGTGGTGTTTTTTTTGTTTGTTTGTTTGTTTTGTGTTTGTTTGTTTGTTTGTTTGTTTGTTTTTCTGAGAGCAGATGAGTTAGGGAGACCCTGTCTTCCTAGCCAGGAAGGCTCAGTCAGCCAAATGCCTTCACCCAGAACTTAGCATGGAAGTCCCTAACCTTGGGCCATTCTAGCCAGCTTGACAGCAAACTGATCTCCCTGGAGGGAGCCTGAAAGACCTGGAACTCCAGTTTTTGCTCAGGCTGTAGAAGGACAGCACCACTGAGAGGAAAAAGACTGAGAGCCCTCCCAGAGAGTGTCGGGTTACTGGAAACTATAGCATGTGACAAGAGGCAAAGGCAGCTAACCTTGCTTGTTCCAGCATTCATCTGAGTTGTTTTTACATTTGCAGGTAAACTAAAAGATCTCGGCAACTTGGTTCTGCGACCTTTTGGGCTCTCCACAGAAAATTTCCAGATCAAGCAGGATTCTTCTACAGGCTCCTACTCCATCAATTTTGTTCAAAATCCAAATAATAATAGATAACAGAAATAACAGTAGTCTTAAAGGCTGACTGGGAGGCCATGTACTGTTCTCAAGGAGCAAGGCCCTGCAGGTGTTTGATAGTTAAAGGTATCTTATCTAGGAAAGGCTGTGTAGTAGAGCCCCAGCCGCCTTCTTGCTCTTGTTTTATGATCAGGGTGGAATGTGCCTCCTGATGTAATCAGCCTCATTAATTTCCATTTTAAGGTGGTGTCTGTGCAGCTGTTGTCCCTGGTTCTGGCTGTTTTTTGTCTGGCAGGGAAACCTGCTTGTCAAGGCTGAACTCTTAGAGCCACACAAATGTGCTATCCACCAAAAGCCTTCCCCCTAACCATGCAAGCCTATCAGTTGGGTGATGACCATACGTGCTGGACAGGGTCCCCTCCTGCTGCCCCTCCCTGCTCATACTCATTCAGAGGCTTGCAGTACAGGGACTTCAGCGTTCTTGAGTTCCTCCATGTTAATAAAAGCTTTCTGTGACTGTGGGGTCTATGTTGTTAATTTTGTTCCCATTAATAGCAGCTGAGGCAGAGTCTGTGACATATGAAACCAGTCCTGGTTTCAGTCAGGGTCACTGATTCTGAACCCACAAAGCTAAAGTTTTTGCTGCTTGACTCTTTCTTGAATAAATGACCAGAATTCAGAAATCCTGCCTTAAGCCATCTAGAGAAACCTTTAGCTTTGTATGGTTGTGAAATTAGTGGTTCTGAGCAGGCATCAGTGCTAATTTTAGCTTAAGATCACATCATTCAGAATGGTATGTGTGTCACCAAACACAACTGTGCATGAAGGCGGAAGTTTCAAGGAGAGGTTTTTGGTTTTGTTGTTGATTTGTTATTGTTTCCAAAAAACGTCTGTTGATGCTAGTGAGTTTTTGTGAGTTGAGTGTCACAGTGACACATGGGCCTTATTGTGGGGGTGAACTGCCATGTTTTGTTAGCTGTGTGTGATGACTGCCCTGGAGCCTCCACTGTAAACAAGATTAGTCAAACGTGCCTAACACCAAGTAGCTTTTGGCTAAGGTTTCCATACAATGTGTGTGTGTGTGTGTGTGTGTGTGTGTGTGTGTGTGTGTGTGTGT